TAGTGTTTCCGACTATGTGTAATATAAGGATAAAAGACAAAAGTCATTTATATTTAAATCATTATTCGGTAAACTATGACACTGGACTATGAAGTAGTGTTAAACTACCCTATTAAGATTATAGCCATTTTCCTCATAAATGGCAGAAGGGTTTAGGCCTTTATTTGCAAAATCACGAGTCCTACATGCTATTATGTTGGCTAAGATCTTAATCTGGCAGTTATAAAAAATAGTAGGATCACTTAACATCTCTATTTTAAAGGTCTATGATGACAGTATGTATTAAGCAGCTTTAGGCAAATTTCAGAAAATTGTATCCAGATATAAACACAGATACTTTTTAAAATTTTGTATTTAAGATGCAATATACATAGAAAAATTTTCTATAAGATATAAGTTATTTGTTTCTTGCTTTTAAAAAAAGTATATAAGACTCAACTCAAGATACTTTTTAAAACACTTTAAATCAGGGATGTGAACCCGGACCCGGACCCTGAACCCTCCTGGACCCTCATATTTTGGCTGAACCCGGACCCGGACCCTTTTAGAAAGTGGAGGGTCCAAGGGTTCAGGGTGTTAAAAATTTTTAACTTAAAATTTTTTTTTTTGAAATTAATGTAAAAATATAATTTTTAAAAAATAATAAATATAAATATAATTTTATTAATTTTTAAAAAATAATATAAAATTTTATAATTTTATTAATTTTTAAAAAATAATCTAAAATTTTTATAATTTTATTATTTTTTTTCGTGGAATCTCCCTAAAAAATAGTCACTTTAAAACTATAATTGATGAAGCAAGGGATGTTGTAAAATATTTAAGAATTCCCACAATTGTTAGTATATTAAAATCCATGAAAATGTAAATGACAATTTTAGATTGCACAACACGTTGGTTCTCTATATGTATGATGCTAGAGCGATTATTAAGTTTGAAAGATTTCTGTAATGATTTTGTCATAGGAGCATGTGAAATCATTTTGTCAGAAGATGATTGGAATCAAATAAAAGAGCTTACTAGTGTGCTAGTTCCTTTAAAAATAACAACATTAAGAGTGCAAGCAGAACAATTATGTTTATCGGATTTTTATGGCATATGGTTAAGATGTCGATTAGAGTTAGGGAGATTAACAAGTTCTTTTTCAAATGAAGTATTAGAAAATACGAAAATAAGAGAGCAACAATATTTACAAAATAGTGTTGTATATGCTTCGATATATTTAGACCCGCGATATCAAGTTTTATTAAGTAGTGAGCAAAAACAAATGGCTATAGACCATCTTGAAGATTTATGGCATACCCAAAACTCTATTATTTACAATACATTGGTGGTTACAACAATATCCACTGGTTGTAGCGATAGCATTGATAATGATAACGATATTGATGATCTGGAAATTTTAATATTAGATAGAGAAAAAAAATTAAATTATCATCTGATAGAAAGGAGCAAAAAATATATATTGTATCTTTAATAGAAAAGTTCTCGGAAGTTATGAGAATAAATAGAGATGCAAACATTTTAAAATTCTGGGAGGAAAATTCTTCAATATATCCAGAATTATATACCTTTTCTAGAATCGTCATGGCTGTACCGGCGACACAAGTACAATAATTTATGTTTTATAAAAATGACTATCTATTTTAGATAAGCGTAGAACGTGGATTTTCATCGTTGACTAATTTACGTGGAAATCTGAAGGATGATATTTTAGAAGATATCATGATTGTGCGATTGAATAAAATATTTAAAATATAAATTATCTAATTTCGAATTTTAAATGTGTATATATTATTAAAGTATAATAAAAAATGAATGAAAAAAAGTCTTATTTTGAGTCATTATTTTTATGTTTCCTCCGAACCCGGACCCGAACCCTGGACCCGGGTCATTTTTAAATTTATTACCGGACCCAAACCCGGACCCAAACCCGGACCTGGACCCTTTTTTTTGTCGAAGGGTTCACATCCCTGCTTTAAATGTTCAAAATTAAAATTATCTAGCTTTATTTTTTAAATAAAATATGCTATTATATAAATATATAAAAAATGTTTCAATATATTGTGGAAAATGGCAAATTTGTTATAAAAAATAATTCGATATAAAGATATATTATTGAAAATATAAAAATATTAACGGTCAATATCTGGAAAACGGTAATAATACATATCAAACTGAAAACGGTACAAATTATTCTCTATCGACCTATACACTTTTTATTTTTAAATTCAAAAGTTGAGGGGCTGTCGTGAAGTTGGCTTCCCATTTTGTTGAATATCTCCAAAACGGTGATGTTACAAATCGACTACGGTACAAATCAGTATAATTTATAAACCATTGAAAATCCAAAAGTGGGGGGCCAACTTATCGAACCTGTTACAAACTCATAAATATCCAAGAAATTATTTTAGGGATCTAATTCGCATAAAGTATTATACATAAAAAAAATTGTATATAATAATTTATATAGAAAAATAATACATCAGCCATATATTATATTTACTTCATTAAAAAATGTTTACTTTTTATAACTTACGTTGCAAAAGAAAGTAATAAGCAACTTTTTATCAGGTATACTGATGAGTGTTAAAAGTAGTGCTGTAAACATTTCGAAAAAGATCAAACGCGACAGTTGACAAAAATCTAACGCTTTCACGTTCAGTGTTCACCTTCAAGAAGAAAAGAAACGCGTTTACCTTCATTCAAAATATTAAGATTAAATATTATAAAAAATTAAATTTAATACTATATTTATTTTAACACAATTTATTTGCCATGTTTTAATTAATAGTTTAAAAAAAATCTTATTAATTTTTTTCAATATAAATACCATTATAGATCATATAAAATTTAATTATTTATACGATATATAAACTTTAATACTTTAAATTGTGTTAAAATATTAAAATATAAAACCCTTCATAAATAATTAAAAATAATAGCGAAGTTTCAAATATTCACGCGAAAAATAAATAAAGTATGAAATATTAATTATTTTATATCTATGTATAAAATATATAATATTTAATAATTTTTATTTAATGTATCTATATCATTATAATTTAATAAACCTATGAAATACAATAATCGAAATTTTTTTTATTATACTTATAATTATTATATCATAATATTACAATCAAATATCTTTTTAAATTAGAACTTGAAGATTTTGAAACTGTTAGGATATAAGATCTTACTATAAAGCATTTATTATATTTGGGTCATGGCAATTTAAGAATCAGATGATGAAAATGACAACCTTCAGGCTTATGCTAATCTATAAAATATAACTAATAATATTAAAGTTAATTAACTATACTATAGGACAGAAATAGTGGCTGGTTAAAAGAAATTCAAATGTGACAAAGGAAAAATATAACCTTTTTTCTTAAAAAATTTATTAATTTTTTTTTATTTCAAATGAATAAAAATTTCTTAAAATCGAAACAACGTAAAAAACGAATGCATTCGTTAAATTAAAAGGAACGTTCGTTCAAAGTTCGTCTAAATGGAACTTATTTATTACAAAAAATCAACTTCATTCACGAAGGCGGTATAGCCTTCGTTTATAACATTAATTAAAATGGGGAAAGATCTCCTTAATTGCTGGATATTTTAGAAGACAATCGATCTAGTATTTAGTTTATTGACACATTAAATAGAAAGCAAATAAAACATAAAACATTTAAAAAAACGATTCCTTTGATAAATTATGAATAAATAGATAGAATGATATTTTTACAAATTGTGCCTTTTATTTTGGAAAAAAAATGTTTTAAATCTTTCTTTAAATAAATACTCTATTTTTATTATATTTTTAAATATAGGAATTAGCATGTATTAGCTTCTTAAATATATTATCCGACCATTTCTTAACTCTGGATTAAAGTCTTCAATAGATGGACCATAGAATGGGTTGACCTAGTAAATTTAATATATTTTAAAGATGAAATATGAAGGACCAGCTTATAAAATATAAGCATAATTAAGATAAAAATATAATAATTTATAATAACAAAAATATAAACATAGGAAGTGCAAGAAATAAGAATATTTTGAAAAATAGGCATAAAGGTTTCCTAAATTATGCGGGTGAGGTAATTTTCATTTATATTGCTATCCCAATGATTTATAATATATCATTGTGCTATCCATATTGTTGGAAGTAGTGACTAAAAGAAAATTTGAATATTTATTTGGATGTATTAAATTGGAAAAAATGATTATTTTAATATTGAAATGTAAAGTGATTATTATTTTTTAAAGGAAAAAATTATGTAATTTTTTTTGATTAATAAATGAAATTGTATGAAATTAGTTATTTTAGTTTGGTACCTGTTGTATTATAATAAATATTTATTTATTATATAAAAAATAGATAAAAAAAATAAATTTAAAGAGAAATATAATTTAGTAAAAATAGGCGTTTATTGATTATTATTTTATGTTGAATGATGTGAAAGAATAAAAAGAAATAAAATATTTAAAAGTGTTAAAAAATCTATTCTCAAAATTATATAATTCAGAGTCTTTCTTTTCTTTGACAGTACCTTTATTAGAATTAATACATTTAGATATTTTTATCTACCAACATTGGAGAAAGTTATAACATTCCTCCTTTCTCACTATTAATTTATCTGAACTTAAATTTACGATTTTATTTTGTTTATTTAAACATTACTTAACCGGGATAATATTTCCCAACCAATATTACTACCTGCGAATCAAAATAAAAAATATTGCTCTTAAGATATCATTATAAATTCTATAATTAATAATTTTGAATTCCTAAGTTTCTGTTAATTTTTTATCAAGCCATATCAACTAATAATATAATAATGATAATGCTCATTATATATTTACATTTAACTTTATAGGTTGTTTTCGTCTACAAAAAAAATAAATATTTTTTTAACAATTATATATTTTAATAATAATATTAAAAAAAGGTAAGGTCTGTATTCAAATTTTTGTTTTTTGCGATCCATTATAAAAATTTCGAAATATAATAAAACAATAGTAATTCAAATATATTTTAAGGCGTGTCTGCAGTAATACTTTTGTGTGTTTGCATTATATATATGTGTCAACGTATCAAACATGAATGAATATATTCGAGTAACTGAAGATATTGATGATGATATAATTGAAATTCCAATTGAATCAGATGGTGTAGTTTTATTATCCACCTTATCTGCTCAATACCCTGGTATAACCGGTTTAAAATATAAAAATGAAAATACAGGTTCTTGGAGGGGAATAAGATTAGAAGAAGCTAGATTATGGCCGCCTGAACCAAATAATTGGGGAGATAGACTTTATTTTGGTGTATTTCCTAAAGGTAAATTAAAGGGCTAATGAATAAATTAAATAACAATTTAAAGAATATAAGAAGAGGCACGATTCAGGAGGATGGTTTAATGTAGCGGAGCAATTAAAAGCCCCCTCTATACATGAAGACTCAAAGAAATGTTGTGATTTAATTATACTTGGATTGCCATGGTCTGCAGATGAAAATAGATTAAAAGATTTTTTTTCAAAATATGGAGAATTAGTATTTGCTCAAGTTAGAACTTAAATTTTAATATTTTTGATAAAAAATTAAACAAATTACCCTCAATTTTAATCTATTTAGATAAAACGAGATGGAACTGGTAAATCCAAAGGTTTTGGATTTATTAGATTTGCTGAATATGATGCTCAAATAAATTGTTTAGGACAGAAGCATAATATTGATGGAAGAATATGTGAAGTTAGAATTCCACATTCCAAAGTAATTTACATAGATTTTTTTCTTTAAAATTATTACCATTTGTATTTTTAGCAATTCAAATATTTATTTACTTTAAATATAATTAAAATGAATATATGATATTCCCTATCTTTGAAATTAAAGAAAGCGTGTATCTAGAATTAAGATAATTTTTTAAAATATTATTCATGTTATGGTTCCCATTTTGCTCAGAATTAAAACTGAAATGCCTAAATTCCTTTAATACTAAGATAAAAAAACTGAATTATTTAGACCAAGTATTCATAAAAACAAAATGGTCAGATATAAAAATGAATAGCTTAGAAAGATATATAAAATACTAGGAACTAGCCACTCATTGGCCCCTTTCAGTTATTCTAAGCATACATTACCGCTTATAGTCAATTTTAATTAACTGAAACATTTATCTTATAAATATAGCAATAGTTATGTGAAATTGGGATGAAATGATAAATCTTTTACAAAAATTGATTCAATTTTATTTAGTTTACCAAAAATATTACTAAACATAATTCATATAAATTTCCCTTTTTTCTTGATTTTTTTATTTCATAAATATTTGGTTACTTTGTGCATAAGATAAATTTACTCAAAAATGTTTATTTTTAACGGGCGCTTATTATCTTTAAGTATAGCTTTAATTTACCACATTCAGGAACTTCTATTGAGAAGGGGGATATAATACAAGATTATTGAAATGGAAATAGGTAGATAGTTATGATACTCTTTTGGGGGAGGGATGAAGTGGCAGAAGTTAAGATTTCTGAGAGGTGAGGGTAATATTGTGACTAGTTTAGGAGGTGTAAGAATGCCAATTTAAAAAAAATATATCAAGATTTTAATACCCATCCTGGACTATTAAAATCTTGCTAAAATAAGAGATTTGTGACCCTGAATTGATTTTTTATCCAATCTAAATATCCAAAAAATTTTTATGTACATTTAAAAGTGTGCTGGGCTTTTGCATAAGCTAGGATTTGCAGATCTCTATTTGATAGACATTTTAAAAAGTTGTCATAATCTAGATCTGAATAATAAGGATGATGATTAACAGAACAATCAATTATATTTTGTTAAAATTAAATAGGGGTGTACAGATATCACTTTTTGGAGGCTGATCCGATCCGATATTCCTGATATTAAATTGATATCGGCCAATTACCGATCCGATATCATATCTAATTTTGTATTCTGTAAAGATACCAATGGTTTTAATTTTTAATATACTTTTTATTAGTATAACATCTGTAATTTAATTATACCATAACTTATGTCATTTAAATATATTATAATGATCAGTTATAGTTGATATTCGATTTAATTGCAATTCTAAAAGTATATAAAATATTTTTATTGTTAAATCACTTTTATATAATAAGTAATAACATTAATCTATATACATAATAAGTAATAAACAAATTTATTATGAATTTTGAAAATAATATTTAAAATTAAAATATCAAAGATTTCTTTTTAGAAATACCAAAATTTCCAATTTGTCAGAGGTCAGTCTGTGGTGATGGTAACTGTCAATATAACCAGCTTCACTAAAAACAGATTCTGAAGAGATAATCGCACACTTTTATAAACAGAATGCACAAAAAAAGAACAATATTGCAAATTGTTTATTAATTATTATTAAAAAAATTTACATAAAAATGGATTTCGATTTTATTTATTAAAATAAATGATTTTAGATAAAACTTTTTTTAAAAAATTTTATAACATTTTATTTTTGAAAGACGCCATTTGATATCAGATTGGATCAGGAAAATTTATAATATTGGCCGATAACCAATATTTAAAAATGAGCAAAATATTGGTCCGATCCAATAAAAATATCGGTACATCCCTACAGTTATGATCCATGCAAATATATTTTGTTTTAAAAAATGACCCCCCCCCCCATCTCCCTTTTCAATTATTAATTATTATAGTGATGCTGACGATAAACAAAATGATCAAGGGATTTTTTATTTTGAAGATCATGTTGAGATATTATGTTTTATTTTCAAAACCCCCTCTCTATAACATACTTACCTAAAACATGGAGATGAGCAGCAATAAACACAGATCCTTTCATTCTTTCAATTGATACCATTGTCAGGATATTATTTTTAATTTACCCCCCCCCCCCCTTCCCACATCAGACCCAAGCCTGAGCCATTCCATGTCAAATGATAAATAAAATAGAAAATTTTGGTTAACCCTTTTTAATTTTGATAAAAAATTTGTGGGCAATTATATATAGTTATACTGAAAACGAAATTTTGGCTCATTAGCAATTAATTGCCTAAGATAATTGGGATTAAAGATTCAAAAATTCGGGGGTTAACTAATTAGTTTTTTTTATTTAAAACTAAATTAGGTAAAATGAATCTAATATTAATAATTAAATCAATAATTGATAATTATTAGTGATGTTAAAAGTTACTTTTGAAACATAACTAGCTACAATTACTAGTTACATTGGCAAAAACATAACTAGTTACAGTTACTAGTTACATTTTTACAAAAGTAACTAGTTATTAATTACAGTTATTTTCAAAAGTAACTAGTTACTTACTTTATACATCATTCATATGCGTATTATTTATTTATTAAATGCATTTATTTAATATAAAAAAAATTAGGATAAACAAAGTATAATCAGTTATTTAAAATAATATACAATTTATTTATATAAAAAAATATCGCAAAATTGAATATCTACATCGAATATAAAAATATATATTTGCATTGAAAAAAAAAACATTTATTTTTCATAAAAATTAGAATCTAATAAATGTTTATTTGCTTTTCACAACAAATTAATTTCAAAGTTATTATCTAGGAGACGTGCTCATTTATCTCCAATAATGAGCTTACCTAGACTCAACAAGTGCTCTACGGGAGCACTTGATGTTAGAACAACATTATATTTAATAAAGAGTAATTTTTACTTTGGAAAATCGTTATATAAAGAAAAAGTGTTGTTATTAGATTTGATAAAGTTTTCTATAAGTTCATTATCTAGAATATTTTGGCGCTTTAGGTCAAAAAATCCAACTACATCAAGTGATGTTGGTTTTGAGCATGATTCATTTGTCTGGGATTCACTTTGAGGTATTAAGGTATTTATTAAATTTAAAATTTCCTCCTTTTTTGCTTTATTCCTTTCTTGCCTAATCCAAGGTCAGTCAGTTTTAAATAAAGGGTGAAGAATTGCAGCAATGATGTTGTCATTATCATAAAGATTATTAAACCTATAACATGATATTATTAATTTATAAATAATTATTTGATTTAAGTTACCTTTTTTCAATACTAGCTAATATAGTATCCTTTAGAGGTTGACAATATTTTAATCCCTGCACATCTGCCATACATATAAGTATTTGTGTTATTGTTGGGGTATAATAACCCAGATACATGTATTTTTCCCCTTCAAGAATATCAATAGCTTTGGACATTGGTTGCATAATCTAATTTTTAAATTGTAAATTTTTATAAGACATTAATTTAAATTTACACTACAATATTCTTTTATAAAATCACGATCATCTGATGTGAATCTACACAATTTTAATTCATCACATAATGAATCAAATTCCACAGGCGCTTGATTTAAAAACGATAATATTTTGGCCAGGGATTTATAAAAGGAACCCCATCTTGTTATAACGGGATATAGGAGTTGAGAATGTAATTTTTTTAAAATAAGTTCGACGGATGGCCCAGATTTATTTTGGAAGTTCCACAAACGTTGGTATATAGCTATAGCTAAGTTATAAACTTTCCTATACCCCTCATTGTTTAAAAGTATCTTGTTGGCATCTTGTGTTGCCACTAAGTTTAATGTATGGCAAGAACATCTTCGATGCCTGCGAAGGTAGTCGAAGTCATTAATATCAAAGAATATTGCAGTGTAAATTTAAATTAATGTCTTATAAATAATTTACAATTAAAAAAAAATTATATTATGCAACCAGTAGCTAAAGCTATTGTTATACTAGAAGGCGAAAAATATATGTATCTAGGTTATTATACCCCAACAATAACACATATACTTATCTGTCTGGAATTTGTTCAAGAATTAAAATATTGTCAACCTTTAAAATATGATATATTAGCTAGTGTTAAAAAAACGTAACTTAAATTAAGTAATTATTTATAAATTAATAATACAATGATATAGGTTTCATGATCTTTTTTGATAATGATAACATAATTGCTGCTATTCTTCATCCACTATTTAAAACTGATTGGCCTTAGATAAGGCAAAAAAGGAATAGATCAAAAAAGATGGAAATTTTAAATTTAATAAATACTTTAATACCTTGCGGTGAATCAAATGGCTCATGTTCTCAACAAACATCATTAGATGTAGTTGGATTTTTTAATTTAAAACCTCAAAATATTATTGATAATGATAAATTTATTGAAAATTTTATTAATTCCAATAACAGCATATTATTTTTATATGACGATTTTCCAAATTTAAAAATACTAGCGTTTATTCAGTCTAGGGAAGCTCATCTTTGAAGAGAAACGAGCGCGTCTCCTAGATAAAAATTTTGAAATACAATTGTTGTTAAAAGCAAATAAACATTTATTAAACTCAAATTTTTATGAAAAATAAATGTTTTTTTTTCAATGCAAATATATAGGATATTTTTATTCAATGTGAATATAAATATTCTATTTTCCGATATTTTTTTCGGTTTACTTATTTTTTTATATAAATAAATTGTATATTTTTTTTAAACAAATGATTATAATTTGTATATCATAATTTTTTTATATTAAATAAATTCGTTCAGTAAATAAATGCGTTATATGAATGATGTATAAAGTAACTTATAATATAACTATGCTAATCTGATAATGATGCTGAAATAATAACATCCATGCTTATTAATATTCAAATTAATTAAGTATACTATATGACAGAAATATTGGCGGGTTAAAATAATTCAAATTTGGTAAAGGAAACAGTTGATTAAAAAATAGCCCCCTTTCTTAAAAAATTTGGATTAATATATATTTTTTTAAAATTGCACTAACGTACACAAACTCAGTCATCAAAAAAGGAACGTGTTCACGTTCAAAGTTTGTAAAAATAAAAGAACGCCGGTCATCATTTTTTTTAAAGTAAACTTCGTAACGCGTTCGTTTACAACAGTGCTTGATACCATTGTCGAAATATTTTTTTAGAAAAAGTTTTTAAACCTCACCCCATCCATCATCTAGGCACTAGTGTTCGATTTTCGCCGATTTTTAAAAACGGCTAACTCAAGATTTTAGCCAGAAAAATATTGCCATAGCCTTGAGATTTCTCTGATAGATGTCCAAACCCTTGTGCCATCTATGAGCAAAATCTTCAGGCTTACGTTATCCTCTTCTGGATAAAATATTGAGTCAGCTGTTTTTAAAAATCGGCTCAAATCGAGCCGTTTAACAACATCAGGCACACGAACCTAGTATAAGGATTAACTTTATTACGTTCATATGGTAAATGGGAAAAAATAAACACTTAACTAAATGCACTCAAAAATAAAAAATTTTTAAAAGTAAAAAAATTTCTTAGCAATTTAGTATAATTCTGAAAAATTCACAGAAATATTTTTAGCATTTCAGTTTATATTCTGAGCAAAATCATGTCTTTTATGAATAATTTGATAACTAATTAATAATTTTTCTTATATAAAGTCATCAACTCTACCATTTGGTAACTCCAAAATACACGTTGGGCGTGTTACAGATGACATAACCTCAGATGATATACTTTCCTACTTTTCTAAGTATGGCAAAGTGCTTGAGGTTTTTGTGCCAAAACCCTGTAGAGGATTTGCTTTTGTGACATTTGCAGATTCTGATGTTGCTCAGAGACTTATTGGTGAGGACTTGATTATCAAAAATACAAGTGTGCGTATCAGTTCCGCCAATGCTCAACCTTGGGAGAATATGGGGGGCAATAATCCATTCTATCCTAGTCCTAACATGGGTCTTTCCAATAACAGTAATTAGATTGTATTTAATCTTTTTAGGTTGAAATTTTAAATGAGCTTTTATTTTAAAAAAATTTATAAGCCTGATATCTAGTGAGAGAAAAGGACATTCAACTCATCATTATTTATAACTCATTCATTGCCAAGTGTGTAAAAACTCATGTCTGTAAACAATTTATCCAGTGAAATTTCACAAATGGAATATATAGGATGCAGATTAGTGGTGATCTAATCGAATTGATTAGCTCCTTAAAAAAATTACGTTATCCGTTACCATGCTTCCATTAAGAAAATTGGAAAAAATTTCCTACCTCAAACCACTTTCCAAAAATCTCCCTCTCCCTTTATAGTCATTTTATGAATATATTTCTTCAAAACCAAATTAATATATTTTTTTATTAGGTTAGGACAATACTTGGTTTATTCTTTTACTCCTAATTAGACTTGTTAATGATACCTTTAAAATATATTGCTATCGATACAAATTTCTTAAAAACCTATTAATTCCAATACAATCTTCATACATTTTATTTAATCATTAACCTTTAAAATTTTTTCCAAAATAAGCACAGAATAAAACGAAAGAAAACCCTATTAGTTTGAAGCAAAAATTTTTTATATATGCTTTGATGATATAAATGTTAGAGTTAAGGCTTTAATGAGATTGGCTTATTTCACACCTAAAATGTGGCATAGTTTTTTTATTTGACTTATAATTTTGTTGTTTTTTTGCGGTTGGCCAAATTGACTGCTAATTATAAATTTTAAAATATGGGCCGGCACCCTAATTTCCTGAGTTCTAGAGCACTCAATATAAATTCGGACGCAGGTGGGAAACAACTCCTGGAATTATGTCGTAATCTTGATCTTCGTGTTACGAATACTTTTTTCGAACAATTTGACCCAAGAAAGGTATTTATTTGTTACTGTCAATCCTACATGGCCACAAATCGATTACCTCATTTTCTTTAAAAATGACAATCGATTGGATAAACAATATTAAATTCCTAAAGACTAATCCATCGATTAAATTCCTAAAGACTAATCCATCGTTGTGTGCGGAGTTTGGCAAGAAGGGGCCATTCAAATCAACTTGTCTTCTATCGAATTGTTTGTACTCTGGAACTTTTCTCTAATCTGTTTTACATACTCTTCCTAGCCTTGCACGCTTTTCATCCTTATTAAGTTCATTTTCTTCCTCTTATACCAGATTTAAAGCAATTATAGCTAGATTGTTTTGCTATTTATGCAATATGTTTTTTTTGGAATATTAAATTTAAAATGGTTCATTTTTATGAAAATATTGGTAATTAATGAGTTATAACATTGGCTATGCATATCTAATTCTGAATATCACGTAGAATACAAATCTTACCAGACATAATTATAATGATAAACATGCCATATATTTTTTGACTTGACCCCCCCCCCCCCTTCCTTCTTTCCATTTTAAACACTTTTGTCATCTTTTCAAAATTTGTTTATAACCGAGTTTAGTTATTGGCAAATTTAAAAAAATTTTTTTTAGTGAGTAACATATAATATAAATGGTTATATATACAATTTTGGAATTATGTATAGGTTTTTCCCAATTGTTTATATATATAATATTTCTTTGTTTACCTTTTTTTTCTTTTTCCTTTATTTTACTAATTGGCAAGAATATTAAACGAGAATAATTTTATTTTTGGAAGACAAAAAAACAATAAATCCATTAAAATTACGATACTCAAAGTTGGGAGATAATGATTTATTTCGTTTTTTTCTCTTTTTATTTCTATTATTAAAAATAAACATAAATTGCCTTTTTTATTTCTTTTACAAATAATAATATACTAAAGATTTTCATCACCAAAAATAAATGAATGAATTTACAATTTAACACAAAAATACGACCCACATAATAGTATTGTTGACCAATCAAACACTTTATCATAGAAAATATGACATAAAATCCTTATGAGATGGTTGTTAATTTTTATTTTATTACCCCTTTTTTGCGAATTTTGATATGGTAGTGGGTAATAGGAACATTGGCCCTAGTTGATGAAGTACTTGATTATTATTCTTCATTGATACAATATCTTTTTATCATGTTGATTTTTTTTCCTAACAAGGTAATATGACAGGTGTACCCTCACCACATGGGTCTCCCTACCTCTACCCTGGACAAGGGAGTTCAGGCGGTCACCACCCTTCTCAGCCCCACCTTTACTCCCAACCAAGGCACTTGCATTCTCATCCCCATTCTAACAACGTTGCTACTCCTACCATTGCTAATCATCAACAACACCATATGACGACACCTCACAAGCAACAGCCGCCAATCGGGCCAAGCCCAGGGTCAAATCTACAGCATCAAGCTCATCCCCACGGAAATAATGGGACCAACCTGGCAACCAATGCCTACCTCCAACAAGCCTTGCTGCTTCAACACCAACAAGCCCTGCTCTTACAACAACACCACCACCAGCAACAACACCAACAGCAACAAAGTAGTAGCTCATCTTATACTTTAAGTAGCCATCGTAACGATGATAATAACTCTTCATACCCCACTAACCTTAAAGCTGAAATTGGTGTGAATGCAGGCCTACGTGATAATACTGCTGATGTAAATGATTGATTAAAATACTGCCCCTTCCTTTTTTTCACCCAGTCCTTTTTTGTATGTTGATAGAGCTTTTCGAATTTTCACTAATTATAATTTTTATAATCTGTTGTTTTATAGCTATCCAGAGTAGCGGGGCGAATCAGGCCCACTCCATTGGACTCAGCGATGTCCAACATCAATCAATCGGGGGGTCGGGCTACTTTACTCCATCCCACTAGCAACACACCACGCAACAATTCCTTCTCATTTCCTCCTTCATCCTTAACCTACTCCTCTAACACTCTCACACCTATTACTTATCCTTTCGTTACCTTCTCAAATAATTTCCTTCCAAATTCCCTACTCACAACTGGAACCGATTCTACATTTAATCCCGCCCTCTTTCAACAGCTCAACTACGATTTTTACAATAACGGTGGTGGTAATAATAGTATTCTAGATTTTAGTGGTAATCCTTACAACAACAATTCTTTTGGAATGACTTCTCATGACGCTTCCTCCTATTTTAATAATCCCGCTTTCCTTGCAGACCCATCTTTTCAGAATACTGCATCCAACTTCAATTTTAATCAGATGAATTACAATTACAATCATGATGGCAACAAATATCCTAATTTCATGAGCTCACACTTTATGTTTCAGCAACCATCTGTCGATATCTTATCTTCCCACCAAACTCATCCATCCTTCACCAAGTTAGATCGAAGGGATCCTTGTTCTGCTGACACCTCAGCATCCGACAATGTTGAAACAAATGGTTCTCAAGCTAATAATTCAACATTTACACAATATCACAATGTGTCAATCAATAACGGAGATTCAAATGTGGCGATGGATGAGATTGATTCTCAAAACACAAATCTTGATGATGGCATGCAACAACTCGCTAGCATGGACCCTTCACTAATGGGACCCATTCTTAACACCCTCACGGAAATGGCCTGTAGCATGAGCGGCACTAATCACCACAATCATAACAACAATAACCATAACATGAGTCAAGATCAAAGCATGCTGGCAGCTCAGAATTTCCTGGGGGCTCTAGTGGCTGCACAACACAACATGGTCGTTAAAATGAGTGGATCTCAAAACAATGTCAAAGGCCCTACCAATTTTAAGGACCTACGTCTGCAAACCAAACAGCAACTTGATATAGTGGCTAGCAGTAATGGCGAATATCGCCGAGATGAAGAAACTAGTGATAGTAATACAGATCTCAGGAGTCCTTCTTTACAATTCCCGCCCCCCAGGAGAGCTAGGATGGACAGTGCCCGTAATAGCTCTTCGTCTCATATGCATAGCCTTGTTGATGGATCTGAAGAAGACAAACAACAACTTCTGTTTAAAGGGATAGGTATGGACGAGGATGGTAGCAGCAATACTAAAAATTGTTATTTTGATGGAGAGGATTCTCTTTCTCATGCTGCACTCACGCCTCAGGGTTTAGCGCCCATCCCTTCTTCGGCTTGGAATGACGTGATTTCTAAAAGTAATCTATAATTCTCTAACTTTTAGCAGAAAAGTATAACAACACAAATTGAAGTTTTTTTTTCATTGTACAATAAACTTTATAGATTGTTTTTATTTTTTATATAAAATACTATAAGGTAATTACTCATCCAACTCGAAACCGTCTACCCCAAGATCGCATCACATCCTGAATCCCAGTGAAAGGGACGATCAAGATGATGCCGACAATATAATACAAGACGCTATAACTCGCTCAATATCATCAGCCAATACCCTGAACCATCCCTCTAATGGATTCAGTAATGAATCTCCACTTCATTCCTTTGAGGAAAGTGCCGTAGGAAACACGAATGATGGTCGCGGAGAACCCTCCACTAATGATTTTATTTGGAAATGAAAATATGTTTTTTGTTGTAAGAATTTAGTGCTAAAATGTTCTATTATGATATCATTTTTTTATAGTTTGAATATTAAAATTTATGGTTTATGTTATTGTAATAAAGTTGTAAACAATTTAATGAGTATATATTATTTTTATATAAGAAAAAATTATTTTTATGTAATTGTATTGTACTTTTTGAATTTAGTTTTGCTTGTATAAAAAATGTTTTTTTAAGTAATATTTAAAATAATTCCTATCATATCAAATTTATATAATATTCTTACCAAAATGCTTACAATTACTCAATTTTTAAATCGTTTTAATCAATTCTCCATGCTTCTAATTACACTTAATTTTCTAAAATTTAACTATGTATATAATTTATTAATTATTGCAAAATCATCACTTTAAATTAATTTTTTCTAACAATTGTGAATTTTATTTAAAAAGAAAATATTTTTAATTATATTATTGAATATCTTTAACAAGTAGTATATATATACATGCACCATGCTTTAATTAGTTTAAATTTTTCGAATATTTAATGATCTTGATATTTTGATTTTGTTTATTTTAAACAAATCAAATTAAACTTTTATATATATCATCAGACATTAATTATATTATATATATATATAAGAGTATATATTCAATTTAGAATATTAAGTTTATTACATTTATATCAAATATTTTACGGATTCAAGCAAGAAAAAAATTTCACTCCCTAATTATTTTTCTAGGGGTACTTTTTTTAAAAATGCTATATTTAAAATTATAATCATTAAAAATAAAATTGATTAAATTTTAGCATATTAATTATAATATACTACTACTGGTCACTTTATATTATAACAAATTTGATTTTTTTTATAATCGCTATGTATAATCCTAATTGTCATCTGACCAAGCTTTATGGTATTATAATAAACGCTAATTATTGATTATATATTAAAATATATAATGATAAAATTGAATATATTTGCATGATTTTTTTTTTGACGTATATGAAATATTGTGGATAATATAAGTTTTTAAAGATTTTTATTCAAAAACTTATTAATCAAAGAACATATTAAAAATTTATAGATTTTGTATTTAAAAATTTCTTTTTCATTATTCATATTTATGATACAGAATAGTTTTACTCTTACATATATATCGATATTGTTCAAAACAAATAGAAGAAATTTTATACACTTCAAAATTTTTTTTAGCCTTTATAATATATTATAATGTTAAATTATGTTTTAATTTACTATGTAAATTTTTTTTACCGAAATAAATTTGGATATTACTTATTTAATATTTATTTATTCAATATCACTACTTCAAAAAATACATTAATAACTAGGGCGACGCCCTCGTTTATATAAGGATTAAAGTGATGAAAATTTTATTTCCTATGTACATTATTCTAAATACAATTGACAATTTATTTATTCAGTGTGCATACACTTAAATTAACTGTATTCAACGTAATTGGCTGGTAGTGATGCAAAATCTCCATTTGAGCCAATTTTTAAATGGCTAACTATAGTTTAGCAAGGAGCCTCGAGATTTCGCTAACATATGTCCATACATATATGCCATATATGAGCAAAATTTTTAGTAAAATTATATTAGTTTATATAAACAATATAAAATTTTAAATGACTATATTTTAAATGAAAAATTTAATCCGAGTTTAGATATTTTAAGATAGATATGATGACGTTGGTCATCATATATCAGATGTAAAATTTAAAAGCTAATAACCATTATTATCTGAAAAATTAGAATTTCCCAAACTAGAGATATTTAAGTGCAATATTTAGAAGTATATTGCCATATAATGTCCCTATTGGCTTTAACGATTGACAAAATACAAGGTGAAATAAACTGCTATTGAGAAGCCGATTCAATATTAAATGCTAAAAAAATCACAAATTTAATTCAAGCTGATCTGTATTTTTGGCATTGTAGTAGAAAATTCTTTTAATAAAAGATTTAAAAATGTATATTAATTTGATAACTTTGAAACCGCAGTTTTTTAGCTACTGTTTCTCATACCTACTTTCTTGAATTTATGAAAAAGAAAAAAATCTTCACGATATAATACACGAAGTTTTAATTATTTTTAAAAATAATATTGAAATTAATATATCAGCAAATTCTTTAATTGGTGAAGATGATTATTCGTCCAATTCAAATTTATTAAATTAGAGGGCTTAAAATATATGAACAGGCGCAATATAAATATGCTAAATAGCTAAAAATATATAAAAGAAATATCTATTAAATTTAGCAATACTTCTAACCTCTGCGCCTGTTGACCGATTATTCAGCTTGGCTTATATGGTTAATAGACCAAATCATCAAAGGCTAAATGATGTTTAAGAAATAATACTGATTTTTTATTTTGATTTAATTATATTTACTAATTAAATTTTTATTCTGATATATAATGCTTCAAATTAATTTCATCTCCATTATTTATTTCGGAAATCATTTTAAACTTATATTATAGCGTGATGTTAGCCCCCCGATATTACAATCTTTTGGATTTTATGGTTTATCAGTTGAACTCATTTGTACCCGATTTTTGCCAAACTCGATTTGTACTATTACCAGCTATTGACCGTTAAAAATATGGCACCAAAAATAAAAACACTCAAAATTAATTTTTTTTTAATAAAAATTTTCTTAACGTACAACGATTAATGATGCTTTAAATTAATTTTTATCTTCATTATTTATTTCGGAAATCAAATTTTAAACTTATATTATAGCGTGAAGTTAGCCCTTCAATTATTCTAGATATTCAATGGTTTATCAGTTGGACTGATTTGTACCCTTTCAAACTCTATTTGTACTATTACAGGCCCCCCCCCCCCCATATCTATTGTTAAAAATGTATTTTTATTTGATTAAATGTTACCCTAATGTATGACTTTTATGAATCAGATATTTTTTATTAAAACAATTTTTTTTAGAGTATTCTAGCTCAAAGTTTGATTTTAATAATTCTACACAATTGTTATGATCTTGGAACAAAAACCATCAATTGATGGAATTTGATAAATATATTAAAATTACCGCTAGATATTTCTTGTTTGAGGAGTATATTATGCTTAAATACTCCAAAATATAAGATCTAAATCTAAAGACATTGGAGAAATGGGTATAATTTTTTTCTTAATATTAATCCCCACGCTTAAAAATAATCAAACATGTGTTCTCTTTGAAAAATATTACAAAACGTTATTAACTTTGTTATTATATATATATAAGGTATTTAAGTTTGGGGGAGGGGGCGAAGATAAAAATTAAAAAATTATTAGGAAGAGAAAAAAAATTCTCTATCGTTGTATACGTTAATTAAAAAAAAATTAATTTTGAGTGTTTTTATTTTTAGCGCCATATTTTTAACGGTCAATACCTGGTAAACGGTAATGGTACAAATCGAGTTAAAAACGGTACAAATCGGATACAGATCAGTCCAACTAATAAACCATTGAAAATCCAAAAAATTGCAATATCGGGGGCTAACTTCACGCTATAATATAAGTTTAAAATTTGATTTCCGAAGTAAATAATGGAGATAAAAATTAATTTGAAGCATCATTAGGAAGAGAAAAAGATTCTTTATCGTTGTAAGTTAAGAAATTTTAAAAAAATTATGTTGAATGTTTTTATTTTTGGCGCCATATTGTTAACGGTCAAGAGTTGATAAACGGTAATAGTATAAATCGAGTTTGAAACGGTACAAATCAGTCCAACTGATAAACCATTGAAAATTCAAAAGAATTGCTGTATCAGGGGGCTGACTTCACACTATAATATAAGTTTAAAATTTAATTTTCGAAATAAATAATAGAGATAGAAATTAATTTGAGTATTATTGAAAAGAGAAAAAGATTCTCTACCGTTGCACGTTAAGAAATTTATTTAAAAAAAAATTAATTTTGAGTGTTTTCATTTTTGGCGCTATATTTTTAACGGTCATTTGCTAGTAAACGGTAATGGTACAAATCGAGTTTGAAACTGTATCTATCGAATACAGATCAGTCCAACTGATAAACTATTGAAAATCCAAATGAATTGCAATATCGAGGGGGGGGGGGTAACTTCACGAGATAAGTTTTAAATTTGTTTTCCTAAATAAATAATGGAGATAAAATTAAGCATCATTAGGAAGTGAAAAAGATTCTCTATCGTTGTACGTTAAGAAATTTTTAAAAAAAATTAATTTTGAGTGTTTTTATTTTTGGCGCCATATTTTTAATGGTCATTTGCTGATAAACGGTAATGGTACAAATCGAGTTTGAAACTGTACAAAAGATCAGTCCAACTGATAAACTATTGAAAATCCAAATGAATTGCAATATCGAGGGGGGGGGGGCTAACTTCAGAGTTTAAAATTTGATTTCCTAAATAAATAATGGAGATAAAATTAACGAAGCATCATTAGGAAGTGAAAAAGATTCTCTATCATACATTAAGAAATTTTTTTTAAAAAATTAATTTTGAGTGTTTGTTATTTAAAAAAAAATTTGTGGGGTTGACGTGAAGTTGGCCCTCCATTTTGTTCTTAGAATATCTCATAAACGGCGATGGTACAAATCGAACTGAAAATGGTACAAATCAATTCAATTGATTAACCATTGAAAATCTAAAAAAGGAGGGGGGGCAATTTAGCGGACCTGTTTGTAACCTTTTCGAGGTTTTTATTTTAAAAAAAACTTAAAATTTATTATCTTTAATATATAATAACAGATCCATTATAAATATTAATAAATTTATACTATGCAAAAATAATCTGTTTTTTTCTTCTCACAACGCATCAAGAAGGCATAGGCTTAATGTTCATTATAGGAGAAGCCAAGGTTAAATACCCCACCCCTCTTCTGAAATTAACCATTTCTACAAATATCATTTTTAGCTAAATAAAATGCACTCTTACGCACCATTCCCTCTCCTCCCAAATGTATAAAATATATCTGTATAACCCAGAATTTGAAAGAAAAATCATATCAAAATTTAACATAGCCAAAGGCCTACAATAAGTAGACATAAAGGCCAACAATAAAATGTATGGGAAAGTCCCATCCAACAGATGTTCTTCACTCCTCTTAGCAGAATCCTAGATACGCCTATATTCTTTTATGTGTGACTTCATGTTTACTACAAAAAGAAGAAAATTTTGAATAAGATATTCTTTAGTTAAAATCTAATCCCTCTTTTTATTTATAAAATTTAAAAAAAAAATACATCTTTTGTTTACTTTTTTGGGCGCTAATTTTTGTCTTCTTAAATGATATTTTTTTTCTTTTAATTGTCATTATTAATAAAAAATATATAATGCGCCACAGCTAATTTGATACTAATATAACCTAAATTGAACCCATTTGTTAACAAATCTTTGACAATCGGATCTCTAAAAATAAAATTAATTTGAATTTTTCGTAATATTTTTTTGTAATGCTCCTAACTTGCGTGTCTGTGGCCACCTTATGATGATATAGCCAAGATATGACAAAATCATTGAGATGTTTTAGACACTATCTATCTATCGTTACCTTTTAATTCATCAAGAAATCTTTTCAACTTCTGCCTTCATTGAGATGTTATAGACACTATCTATCTATCGTTACTTTTAATTCATCAAGAAATCATTTCTACTTCTGCCTTACTAATAATAACATATATATTTACGATTTCATTGATTTTCGAATGGTATATTTATAAGGAAGGAAATAAAAGATTTTGTAAAATTATATACATAATGATCTCGTGAGTCAATTCCATGGCTAGAATAAGTTTTCAAAAGGTCAGGAAATTTATTCTAGTAAATTAAGGCGAACAATTAAATATTCATAATTTTCAGAAAAAACTTTTTTAACAAATTTAAAATAATTAGGGGTCAAAATTTTTCATTTCATATATTTATTTATAATTTCAAATAGCTTGCTTGGGGAAAAATGGTAAATTATCATTTAAACTATGCTACAATTTTAAATTTAAAAAAAAGTAAATATTTTTAAAAAATACTATATTCAGACATCCTCAGCCTAAGGATCACGTTGATTCGCCATGTGAAATATCCATCGTATATGTTTACGTAATTTTTACATTTATGATCAAATATAAATGATTATTTTAAACTTAATAATAACCATGTTCGATATTAATGAAATAGTTATTTTTAATGAAAGGATTCTAATTTATTATGACATTTTTTGGTCTAAATATATTCGTCGGCCTAGAATTGGAGTGCTCCATTTGCGCAAATGTTTAAAATGAGAAAATTCAACATTAA